TTTGTAAAATATTTCAAAACCTCTGTCCCTGGTGGTGGATCCTTTTCCAAGTAGGAACATTTCTGCCCATGTACACTCTCCAAGCCCATCATGATTTTGAAATCTTCTCTGAAATCTAGTCTTAGTCTTCTCCTTGATGGTGCCCTTTTGCATCAAGCATGACTGACCTGAAGCCTTTATTGCAGTTACTGCCTGTCATATGTATTTTTGAAAGATTTAAAAGATGATAATCAGCCTGTCTGATGCATTATAAACACACCTTCTATGAATACACAGTTCTAAAGTTGGACTTGAGCTCAGAGTTATTGGCTTAGAGAGAGGTTGCTACCTCGGTCATGCAAAACCTCCTCAGCCAAAATGTTACTTGGCTGAATGTTGCCCAGTTCTTGCTGCATTTGGGCAGGCACTGCTATTGTAACTGAGAAATTTTGAGTGACATTGAACATTGTGCCCATTGAATATACCCACTGCTGCCTTATGATTGGGCCTAGGACAGTAAGGAGCTTCTGCACTGATCTCCTGAAACTAAGATGAATTGTGTTTGATGTAACTGTAACCAGTGGAGAATTAAACACTACCACTATTGCCGTGCCCCCACACCACTTCATTCCAATTGTACACTGCTTTGCTAGGGTTTCTTAATGCTACACTTGGTCAAATATTGCATTGATGTTAAGTGTAGTCAATGTTTTTCCCCTCTTGAGTTCAGTTTCTCAATGTCTGTTTGGATTAATGCTGTACTGAGGAGCCCAAACTGAGTATCACTGAACAGGAACTACTTGATAGCATCCAGAGACACTTTCTGCCTGTTGCCTGATAACCAAGAGTAGGCTTATGGAATAGTAAGCAATCAACTTGGATTTGTCCTGGTTTTGTGGTTAGGGCATAAGTGGACAATTTTCCACATTGTCAGGTAGGCACCAATGTTGTAACTCAAATGGAATAGCTTGGCTAGGTTATGGCTAGTTCTGGATTCCAGGTCTTCAGCGCTATTGGCAGAATATTGTCAAGGTTCCCTGCATTTTCAGTCTCTGATACTTTCAGCCAGTTTATTGATATCACGTGGAATGAATCAAATTGGTTGAAGACTGGCATGTGTGATGTTGGGGACCTCAGGAAGGCTAAGATCGATTGCCCACTCTCACTTCAGGCTGAAGATAGTTGCAAATTGTTCAGCCTTCTCATTTACATTAACTTTGTTGGCACCCCCATCATTAGCGATATGGATATTTTTGGAACAGCCTCCTCTGATTAGTTGTTTAATTGTCCACCACAATTTATAACTGGATGCAGCAGGACTGTAGAACATTGATCTGATCTATTGCTGATGGGATTGTTTGTTACTCTCTTATCGCATGCTACTGTTCAGCTTGTGAGTAGTCCTGTGTTGTAGCTTCAAATGGTTGACACTTCAGTATTTGGTGTGCCCAGTGCTGTTCCAGGCAAGTCCTTCTGCAATTTCTATTGAACCATAGTTGATCCCTTTGCCTGATGGTAATAGTAGCATAAGGAATACACCAGGTCATGTCATCTGCTGATGACTGATGACACTCCGTACCAAATGGATGTCGAGTTTTGACCTTCTAAATCTGTTCTGAATCTAATCCATTTAGCATTGTGAGGCAGCATCACAAATTTCTGGAGAGTGTCTTCTGTGTGAAACTGTGAAGTCGTCATCTTCACAAGGACTGCTTGTGATCAGTTCTACTGACACTGTCACCGACAGTGTAGATTGATAAGGAGAGAGTCTAGCGTGGTTTTCCCTCTTGATACGTCGCCACCAGCCATGGGTGCAGTCTGTCAGAAATGTCTATCAGGATTTCGCCAGCTTGATCAGTATTGTTGCTGTTGGAGATGGCATTGATGTACGTTCTGTGCTCTTGCCACCATCAGTGTATTTTCCAAATAATGTTTAATATGGAATAGTACTGAGTCATCAGCTGGGGGCAGAGAGTTAGTTAGTAACCAACAGGAGATTTCATTGCCCATGCTTGTCCTGTGAATGGGAGTTTATTTGTCCAGTGTCATTCTTGAGGGCACCCAGGGCAACTGTCTCTGATTCTACTCCACAGCCCCTTCTGTTGGGTCTGATGGGACAGGACTTAATGTGTGATGCTGGTGGTGCCAGGGATATATAAGGTATGACATGATGTTTGTGATTATTCCAAGATACAACATGGAAACAGACCCTTTGATCCAATCAGTCCATGCCGAACATTAATCCCAAACTAAAGTAGTCCCAGCTGCGTGCTCCTGGCCACTATCCCTCCAAACCTTTCTTATTCAAGTGCTTATCCAAGTGTCTTTTAAATGTTATAATTGTGCCCATATCCACCACTTCCTTCGGAAGTTCATTCCACATGTGAACCACCTTCTGTGTAAAAAAAAGTTGCCCTCATGACATTTTTAAAATTTCTCTCTTCTCCCCTTAAAAATATGCCCCCTAGTATTGAAATCCCCATCCCAGGAAAAAGATACCTACCATTAACCCTATCTTTACCCTTCATGATTTTATAAACTTCTGTAATGTTATCTTCCAACCTTCAATGCTGCAGTGAAAAAAGGCCCAGCCTAGCCAGAATTTCTTTATAACTCAAACCTTCCGTACCCAGCAACATCCTGGCAAATGTCTTCTGAACCCTGTCCATCTTAATAATAATCTTCCTGGATGACCAGAACTGGACATAGTGATTCTGTGACTCTATGTTAGTTGACTAATGTGTGGGACAATTCTCTTAAATTTGGCACAGTGTTCCAGATGTGAGTAAGAAAAACCTTGCAGGTCGGGAGGGCTGTCTGTGCCATTGTCTTTTCCATTGCCTAGATCAATGTCAGGTGGTCTGTATGGTTTCATGTTGCATCTTGATATTACTAAGTGCATTTTTTTGGCCATTTCAGAAAGCAGTAATTTTGATGTGGATCTGTATGTCATTCTGTTTCCTGAACTTTTGTTCTAACTCCTTCCCTTCCCACCTAGAACCACAATTGAGTTTCCTTTGTTCTTGGCTTTCCCTCCACAAACATCAGATAGCTTTCCACCATTTCTACCACTTCTGCCACGAAGAAAGGTTGTTGCACCTGAAACGTTAACTCTATTTTCTCTTCACAGATGCAAGTGTCCCTGACCTGCTGAGTTTTTCCAGCAATTTCTGATTGCTTATGAACTTATCCTTTGTTTTCTTATCTGCCTCTTTATTAGTCTTCTGTGTTATATCATCTTTTTTTTGCCATTTAAACTCTACTGCTACCCAGTTACAGGTGTTGGTCTTCACACTTGCGTAGCAATCTCACCATCTCCATAATTACTTAAAACCTATCAGACATGTTGCAGTGTTCTGCATCTATAGGCCAGTAAATAATATCAACATTCACTATCAGCATGCAAAATGGCTTCTTTAATGTGATACCAGACTATATTCCTGTAGCTGCTGGGGCATTGATAGAAATGTGTCTTAAGGATGTACTGTACTACTTTAACCTAATCTCTGGACAAGTCCTTGTCATGGTGTGGGATGTCAAGGTGCTTTTTCTTTTTGGTGGATAATTCAGACCACCACTCCATATACAAGGATAGATAAATTCCCAAAACGTCGTAAAGATCCAACCACTCGGGTGACCAATCTGAGAAAAATCCCCCCCCACAATCCCGTTAAGTAAAATGCAAAGCAGTTATACTTCCATCTCTTGTATTTGCTGCTGATAGGTTCACTAGTGAAAATAATCAGCAGTAAGTGTGGGAGAAAAAGAGCCTTTGGAGAAGCAGCAAGCAGATTAAGTAAGAAAGGAAGGAAGGTAAGTGAGCAAGTCACTGGGGGGTTTGCCAAAGCCAAGGTTTTCGAGGCTTAGCTACCTGAGGCTAGGAATGCTGAGGCTGTTGAGTACTTCAGAAATTTCATTTGCCAGATTCAAAGGGACTATCTGCCATGGAGACCAAAGAGGTTGCAAAGGGGAAGAAAGAATGTGAGAAGATGTGGGAAATGGAAGAATAAACTGCAAAGAGAGAGAGACCGTCTGCAAAGGAGAGGGAAACGTTATAAATAAACAGTTACAAAGGAGTACTCTGTGAACAGAGAACCAGGAAAACTTGAAATCACGGATCTTCTGAATTCCTTGCAAATTAATGTGGAACCTCTGGTTTGAAGCTGCATTCGTTCAGGAGCTACCACATTGGGAAAATATGTAGTTGCTACTGTACTGAACACTGTCAATTGTTAACTTTAAATTTGAGATTGAGGAATGAGAAGAAGTAAAAAGGGATTGTAACTACCTAGTGATAAATGTCCAGCATTGTGCTTGTGATGGAAACCCATTGCTTTGACCTCACTAATCTGCGGAAAGTGTGTTTAACATAATGCCATTTTGAGTGTAGAAGTGTGCAACAGTTATTTTGGAAAAAAAATCTATTGTTACTTATTCCTGTTGTCTTGTACAATACATTGTCTAAGAAATTGATTCTCTGCTTGTGTGGTGTGGCTTTAAATTTAATGGAGGATTGATAATTACTGAGGATATTATTGAATTCTTTTAATTCTGCTTGTTTGACTTCAAATATCCCACCTTTCAACACAGTTACAAACATTGTTAGCATGTGACTGTATTGCCTATTAAATGAGTTTGTGTGAATTTGAAAGTTGCCTTCAAATCAAAAAGTATTTGTCAATCAAATCTTAAGAAATCTCAGAAAAATAATTATATTGTATCCTGAGTCAGTTTGAGTCGTTTCATGGCATAGGTGAAATGCTAAGCCTTAAAAACTAATTGTACCATATTTGCAAATTTAAAACTGTGCCTAAAGCAATTTTGATGAAATAATAACTCTGTTCATTTCTCAACAGATATTACCTGATCTAGTTTTTTTAAGGAATGTTGTGTGCTTCTTTTAATCAAATTAACAGATTATTTTTTAAAAGACTTGCCTTTTGCCAGGATGGAATCAAAGCCTTATTTTAATGTTTTGGAGAATAGTCATTAGGCACTTAACGTGCATTCTTTCTTGATAGCAAATTGCTCCACAGCCTAGTCCAGATCTCACTCCCGACAGGATTAACGGAAATCGAACCTCGGGTTCTTGATGAGGTCTGGTGGTACTATGAGGAAGCACTCGTTATGATTGAGAACTCGGTGAGTGATAGCCTAGATAGCAATGATGTCTGAGTGAAATTTTAAAAGAATAAGTAAAATGTATATCTGAAAAAGCCATTACTCTGTACTCTGGATGGATCCAGTTCTGAAAGGGCCGGCGCAGTGGCTCGGTGATAAGCACTGCTGTCTCACAGATCCAGGTCCCCAGTTAGTTTCCAGCCTCAGTGATTGTCTGAATGGAGTTGTATGTTCTCCCCATGTCTGTGTGGGTTTCCTCCAGGTGCTGTGGTTTCCTCTCTCAGTCCAAAATGTGCAGGTTTGGTGGATGAACCAAATGGCCTGCTTCAACATTTTTGGGGATTCTGTGATATGATGCATTTCTCTGGCTTTTATTTTGTGATTTTGGGCTAGTAACAGTGGTTAAACTTACAGGGCATGTTCCTGTGTTATTAAGTGTGACATCAGGCATGTTAGTAGTCATCACTTCTGCTTGGGGAGATTTTTTTTGTGTGGTCATGCAGTCTTCTGCTTGTTAATTATACATGCGAATTGAACAGTGATTCTAATGGGGTTGTACAGGCAGGAAGATCTGACCGCCACCCGGCCCTTCCTGCATCTATCCTGTCTAACCATAGAGTTATAGAGTTGTATAGCACTGAAAGACACCCTTCAGTCTAACTTGTCCATGCCAACCAGATATCCTAAATTAACCTACTCCCATTTGCCAGCATTTCGCCCACATCCATCTAAACCATTCCTATTCATGTAGCTATCTAGATGTCTTCTAAATGTTGTAATTGCACCAGCCTCCACCACTTCCTCTGGCAGCTCATTCCATTCATGCACCACCCTCTGTGTGAAAATGTTGCCCCTTAGGTCCCTTTTAAATATTTCCCTGTTACCTTAAACCTATGCCCTCTAGTTTTGGACTTGCCCACCCTGGGGAAAAGAACTTGGCTATTCACCCTATCTATGCCCCTCATGATTTTATAAACTCCAAAAGATCACCCCTCCGCCTCCGACACTCCAGGGAAAATAGCCCCAGCCTATTCAGCCTCTCCCTATAGCTCAAGCCCTCCAACCCTAGCAACATCCATGTAAACCTTCCCTGAACTTTTCAAGTTTCACAACATCCTTCCCATAGCAGGGAGGCCAGAACTGAACGGAGTTTTCCAAAAGTGGCCTAACCAATGTCCTGTATGACCGCAACATGACCTCCCAATTCTTATACTCAATGCACTGAGCAATAAAGGCAAGCATACTAAATGTCTTTTTCACAATCCTATCTACCTGCAATGCCACTTTCAATGAACAATGAACCTGCACTCCAAGGTCTCTTTGTTAAGCAATGCTCCCCGGACCTTACCTTTAAGTGTATAAGTCCTGCCCTAATATGCCTTTCCAAAATGCAGCGTCTCACATTTGTCTAATGAAACTCCATCTGCCACTCCTTGGCTCATTGGCCCTCTGATCAAGGACCCGTTGTACTCTGAGGTTACCTTCTTGGCTGTCCACTATACCACCAATTTTGGTGTATTCTGCAAACTTACTAACCATACCTCCTATGTTCACATAAATGACAGTAAGCAGTGGGCTTAGTACTGATCCTTGTGGCACACAGCTGGTCACAGGCCTCCAGTCTGAAAAGCAACACTCCACCACCAGGCTCTGTCTCCTATCTTTTGAGCCAGTTCTGAATCCAAGTGACTAGTTCTCCCTGTATTCCATGTGATCTAACCTTGCTAACCAGTCTACCATGTGGAACCTTGTTGAACGTCTTACTGAAATCCATATAAATCATGTCCACCGCTCTGCCTTCATCAATCCCTTTCGTTAATTCTTCAGAAAACTCAATTAAGTTAGTGAGACACCATTTCCCATGCACAAAGTAATGTTGACTATCCCTAATCAGTCCTTGCCTTTCCAAATATGTGTAAATTCTGTCCTTCAGGATTCCTTCCAACAACTTACCCATCACTGATGTCAGGCTCACTGGTGTGTAGCTCCCTGGCTTTTCCTTACCACCCTTCTTAAATAGTGGCACAGCATTATCCAACATTCAGTCTTCTGGCACCTCACCTATGGCTATTGATGATACAGATAGCTCAGCCCAGTAATCACATCCCTAGCTTCCTACAGAGTTCCTACACCTGATCAAGTTCTGGGGATATATCCATCTTTGTGTTATAAGACATCCAGAACGACCACCTCTGTTAAATGGACATTTTTCAAGATGTCACTATTTATTTCCCCAAGTTGTCTAGCTTCCATATCCTTCTGCACAGTAAACACTGATGGAAAATACTCGTTTGGTATTTCCCCCATCTCCTGCAGTTCCACACACAGGTGGCCTTGCTGATCTTTAAGGGGCCCTATTCTTTGCCCAGTTACCCTTTTGTCCTTAAGGTATTTGTAGAATTCCTTTGGATACTCCTTAACCGTATTTGCCAAAGCTATCTCATGTCCGCTTTTTGCCCTTCTGATTTCCCTCTTAAGTATACTTCTACTGCCTTTATCCTCTTCTAGGGATTCACTTGATCTCTGCTGTCTATACCAGATCTATGCTTCCTTCTTATTTTTAACCAAAACCTCAAATTCTCTAGTCATTCAGCATTCCATACACCTACCGACCTTGTCCTTCACCCTGACAGGAACATAGTGTCTCTCTCTTCCTCCCTGTAGTCCCACCATCACAGGAATCAGTCTGGGAAACCTTGGTTGCTCTTCCTCTGTAGCCAGAACGTTCTTCAAATAAGGTGACCAAAACTGCACACAATACTCCAGGTATGATCTTACCAATGCCCTGTCTAGTTGCAGCAAGACATCCTGCCCCTGTACTTGAATATTCTTGCTATGAAGGCCGTTATACCATTTACCTGCTCATTGCCTGCTGTACCTGCATGTTAAATTTCAGCGACTGGCATACGAGGACACCCAGGTCTCATTGCACTCTCTCCTTTCTAAGCTGTCACCATTCAGATAATAATCTGCTTGCATTTTTTTGTTACCAAAGTGGATAACCTCACATATATCCACAATATACTGCATTTGCCATGTATTTGCCTGCATGCGTATCTTGCCTAAATGATATTGAAGATACATTGCATCATCTTCACAGCATACATAAATCCAACTTTGATTTATCTGCAAAATTGTAGATATTACACATAATTTAATCATCTAAATCACTGATGTGTTATTGTGAATACTTGGGATCCAAGGACTGGTTACTGTGGTTCCTCACTAGTCACTGCCTGCCATTGAGAAGGAGACCCATTTATCTATACTTTTTGTTTCTTGTCTGCCAACCAATTCTCCAATCCCATATGCTATAATTTTCTTATGTGGGATCTTTTCAAAAGCCTTCTGAAAATCCAAGTAAACCATATCCACAGGCTTTCCCTTATCCACTCGAATGGTTAAATCCTCAAATTCCAACAGATCTGTCAAGCACAAGTTTCCCTTCATAAATCCATGCTGATTCTGGCCTGTCTTGTTACAATCTTTCAAGTGCTTTGCTGTTAGATCTTTTATAATGGACTCTAATATTTTCCCATTACCAATATAAGCTAACTAGAGTATAATTTGCTGTTTTCTCTCTGCCTCCCCTATTAAATAATGTGGTTATGTTAGCTATCCTCCAATCTATAGGAACCATTCCAAAATTTAAAGAATTTTGGAAGATGACCGTTAGCACACCTGCTATCTCTAGCACCATTTTCCTTAAGTACTCTGACATGAACCTTATCAGGCTCTGGGGATTTACTTGCCCTTTAATCACATTAGTTTTCCCAACATTGTTTCCCTATTAATATTAATTTATTTCAATTCCTCCTTCCCACAAACACTGTATTGCCCCATATCGTTGGGATGTTATTTGTGTCTTCCTTTGTGTATAAAGCTAAAAGTATGTATTAATTGGTCTGCTGTCTTTTTACTCCACATTATAAATTCCTTTTTTCCTGACCATAGGGACCTATATTTATCTTTACTAAACAAAAAAGGAACTGCGGATGGTGGAAATCTGAAATAGAAATAGCTGGAGAAACGCATCTGGTCTTGAAGCATAGAGAAAGTAGAGTCTACGTTTTGGGTCCAGCAACCCTTCTTCAGAACTGAGTTACCACTTGGAATATTTGGACTTGTACAAAAACAGAGTTAGAAGAACTAATCAGTATTCTCAAAAAGTATCACTGTTCCATTAAACTAAAAGTCACAGCACACACAAATGCGTGACTTTTCTGAACCCCCAAGTATTTAAATTGGCAGAAGTTAAGAGGCATTAGTTAACAATGAATAGTTTTGCAAAAAAAAGACAAACATTTCCAGACACAAAAAGTCACCATCTTAAACATGCTTTACAAAAATTGGTAAGGTAATAGCAGAATGGCTGCATATTTGTGTCAGCTTGAGTAATTTGCAATATGTGAAATGATTTGAGATGCAATAATCCATAAATGAAAACTTTATGAAGGAAGACTGTTCGGTTTTAAATCATCCAATTAACAGCGTTTATTACATCAATACCTTCTAATTTTCCTCATATGATAGGCTCTGAACGTCTGCAGCCTTCAACTAGACTAAAGATTCCACTTTCATTTTTAAAGGGGTGACTGCAGTTTTCTTGATTCCCTGTTGGCTGAGTATTCCTTTGATGAGAGTTTTTAAATTGTTCTCTTCCCTTTTGTGGATTTTCTTCTACTCCCTGCACCTTTTCAGACCCTCATGTCTCCTTTGCAGGCCCAGACTTCCCTTTACAGCCGCTGTCCTACCTTTGTAGCCCCCTCCCTGTTTACATCTCTTATCGAGTCATAGAGGTCTCCAGCAGAGAAAAAGGTCCCTTATGAGTGTGCGCCAGTTGAGAGTAACCACGTATCTATTCTAATCCTATTTTCCAACACTTGACCCATAGTCTTGTATGCCTTGGCATCACAGATTTACATCTAAATACTTCTTAAATGTTAACAGAATTTGTGCTTTTACCACCCTTACAGCCGGTGAGTTTCAGATTCCCAGCACTCTGTAGCTGAAAAAAAATT